GCTTCTGTGTCCTTCAAGCGCAGCAGAGGAGGAAACACACTCTCTTCTGTGGCTTTAATTCTGTAAAAGCTTCAGGTCTGACAGGAAATCACCTACACCTGGTTAGCAGAGCACAAAGGAAAGGGAAATGGAAGAGGATCCATTGGGAAAATAAAATGCAAATATAGAGAAGCCACTCAGGTCCGTTACCAACTCTACAAAGCCGTCCGTGCTGTCTTCAAAACAAGGGGACAAAGTCAAAGACGCTCCCCAAACAGAGGAGTCCTGCTGCCTGATAACAAGGGAACAAAGCCAGTAACTTTAAACTATGATCCTGATAATTAAAACTGTAAATATAAGTGGATAACGGTGCTAAATCTCAGAAGAAAAATAAAGATAAAACAGTTAAGGACATGAGGCAAGAAAAAGCAAACTAGAGATTGAAAAGAAAGGGAGCCAGAATAGAAATGAATAATTCTCAAGGTTCAAATGCAGTCCATTCTGAACGCAGAAAAGGTTCAAAGTACCTTTTTCTCACCATGTCACACAGGACAATTCTCCTGTGAAGGAGGAACAGTACGAGGGGGTGCAAATCCAGCATTTCATTCCCACTCTTTTGGGCATAGCTGACTTCTGCAGGTGTTCTGAATCCCACCCCACCACCAGCCAGAGAGAGCTGCAGCCCAGAGGCGCCACCCCCAAAGCTGCTGCTGCTAGGAGAGGAACCACTGTCCAGAATGCCAGGATGTGTTTCCAATTTGCTTCTTTAATATAGTTCACTCCATCTCCTTGGATGCCATTTACATCTAAGAGATAATTGTTTTAATTACAAAGGCCTGCCCTGTTTCTCTTCTACTTGGGAATTCATACATTGCTACTTGGCTTCTTTTCAATCAGGCATGTATTAAATCATTTGAAAATTTAAGAAGTTGTTTTGTTTCATCAAAATGAAAATGACAAGACTATAATCATTATTACACTGAAATCATACCTGGTAGTTGTAATAAAATATAGAAATCTTCACATTTACATTCTTCCCTAACTTGCAGTCCAATGCCAAAAATGCACTCGAAATGAATCAACCTAAACACAAAAGCTAAAACTATAAAATTTCTGAAACACAGGAGAAAATTTTTACAACTGTGGTAGGCAGACTCTAAAATGGCCCCCAGTGACTGGCCTCATGGTGTTCCATCCCTTCTGTGACCTCTTGCCATTGACTGTGAGCTGGATTTAGTGACTCTCTTCCAGTAAATAGAATGAGGCAGAGGTGATGGAATATCACTTGCAAGATTATACTGTGAATCAAATAAGTGCATATATAACTGTGCTATCTGAATAGCTCTATGGATTGTGCCAGTGTCAGTTCCTTGAGACACTGGCCTCAGGGAAAGGGACATGGGGGAAGGACGAATGCATGAGACTTCCCTTTATATTTCTTTCCAATTTCCTATGAATCCTTAATTATTTCAAATTATTTTAAAATAAAAACAGCTGCTTTTTTTTTCAAATGAATTAATCTCAAAAACAAAACAAAAGAAGAACATGGCTTCCATCTTGTCCATTGCTCTCACACTTTGCTCTGAGGGAAGGCAGCTGCCATATTGGTAGCTGCCCTACGGAGAGGCACATGTGGCAGAACTGAGGGGGCCTCCAACAAACAGCCAGTGAGGAACCCAGGCCCACAGTCCAACAACCCACAAGGAACTGAATCCTGCTGACGACCATGGGAGTGGGCTAGGAAGCAGATCCTCCCCAATGAAGAATTCAGAGAAGTTGATCTTGGCCAACTGCAACCTCTTAAGAGACTATAAACCAGAACCACCCAATCAAGCTGCTCCCAGTTTTTGACCCAAAGAAACTGAAAAAATAAATGTTTGTTGTTTTAAGCTGCTGAGTTTTGGGGTAATTTGTCATACAGCAATAGAGAGCTAATGTAACAACCTTGAGGTAGGCAAAATTTTCTTAAAGAAACCCAAAAGGCATGAATAATAAAAGGAAAAAGCGATAGACTGGACTTCATCAAAATTTAAAACTTTTGCTCTTCAAAAGATACCATTATGAAAAAAGAAAAAGAAAAGGCAAGCCACAGAATGGGAGAAAATATTCACAGTACGTGTATTTGTAAAAGAACAGTACTCAAAATAAAGAACTCTTACAACTCAATAATAAGACAACCTGTTAAGACGTGAGCAAATGATTTAAATAGACATTTCAAAAAGATTACAAAATAAACTCAAGAATGACTAAAATAAAAAAAGATTGACAATACCAATGATTGGTAAGGACATGGAACAACTGGAACTCTTCTACATTGCTGGGAATGTAAAATGGTACCACAGTTCGGAAAACAGTTTGGCGATTTCTTATAAAGTTAAACATATGCTTACCATAAGACTCAGCAATCTCACTCCTGGAGATTTATCCAAGAGAAATGAAAATATGTTCATAGCAGCTTTATTTGTGATAGCCCAAAACTAGAATGCCCATCATAGATAAATGGATAAACAACTTGTGGTATATCCTTACAACAGAACTCAGCAAAAAGGAATGAATTACTGATACACTTTATGATATAGACAAGTATAAAAAACATACTGAGCATAAGAAGCCAGACATAAAAGAGTGCATAAAACATGATTCCATTTATATGAAACCCTAGAAAATACAAATCAATGCTATAATAAAAAAATCAGGTCACTAGGGATAGGCGTGAGGAACCTGACTATACAGAGGCCCTAGGAACTTTCAGGGGTGAAGGAAGTGTTCTATTCTGGTGGTGATTATAGATGTGTATAAAATTGTCAAGGATCATCAAAATGTATACTTAAATTGGGTATATATTACTGCATTAAATTATACATCAATAAAACATCAGCTTAAAAAATACTGTTAGGAAGGACACTAACAAATGGAAACTCATCCCATGTTCTTGGCTGGGAAGAATTAATATTGTCCAAATGGCCATCCTGCCTAAAGCAATCTACAGATTCAATGCAATACCTATCAAAATATCAACAGCATTCTTCAACGAACTGGAACAAATAGTTTTAAAATTCATATGGAACCACAAAAGTTATGGAATAGCCAAAGCAATCCTGAGAAGGAAGAATAAAGCAGGGGGGATCTCACTTCCCAACTTCAAGCTCTACTACAAAGCCACAGTGATCAAGACAATTTGGTACCAGCATAAGAACAGACCCATAGACTAGTGAAACAGAATAGAGTCCAGGTATTAACCCAAACATATATGGTCAATTAATATATGATAAAGGAGCCATGGACATACAATGGGGAAATGACAGCCTCTTCAACAGCTGGTGTTGGCAAAACTGGACAGCTACATGTAAGAGAATGAAACTGGATCATTGTCTAATCCCATACACAGAAGTAAATTCGAAATGGATCAAAGACCTGAATGTAAGTCATGAAACCATAGGCAAAAATCTCTTGGACATAAACATAAGCAATTTCTTCATGAACATATCTCCACGGGGAAGGGAAACAAAAGCAAAAATGAACAAGTGGGACTATATCAAGCTGAAAAGCTTCTGTACAGCAAAGGTCACCATCAATAGAACAAAAAGGCATCCTACAGTATGGGAGAATATATTCATAAATGACAGATC